TGTGGGGTGTGCGATGGACTTACTTCCACGTGGTGACTCTGGGCAACAAATACTCAAACGGCAACAAAGTCTATTAACTGGCAGTTGACTTCTGACTTCAAACTACTATCACCCCACTGTATGTCATATTCGACTACTTTAACGGTACTCACCTCACCTTTACTCTACCTTTGTGTCTGCCTCCTTCACATCTTTGAATCACTCTTCTGTTCCCCCTCCCTCTCGGCTTTTTTGCACTTTGATGTTCCCCTCCCTCTGTGAACCCTGATGTCAACTAAAGGACTAATGATAACTATCAAAACGCCTGCCATTTGATAAAAAATAAAAAAAATACGATTCACAGTGAAACAGGCTAGTGAACTTTTTAATGTAATCTGAACTAAACATTCTCAACCACTTCTCCTGCAATTTTGGTAGAAAGCAGTACCCAATATTAGTAACCCCAATAAAAAAATCAATCTCATTATTAGAATGCATAATTTCCCAACTAGAGTGAGAGTGAGTAAGTAAAACCTTAATGTCAGCCAAAAAGTATTGAACTTTCACGCAAGCATAGACCTACCTCTCCTCGAGGTATAAGTATGTAAGCCATGCATCTTGATAAAATCTTTAAATTGCGGAATTAAGTTAAATGCAATGCATGCTAAATGCATAGTTTTTCTGTATTGTCAGACAGAGTTTGCTTTGCATTCTTGTGTCTCTCCTTGGTGCCTTCTTGCATGACGCAATCAGATTGGAACTTTTACTCACTTCATCTTACAATAAATAATAATATTATCGTGCAATATAAAAGGACCAATCAATGTTGCTACATTATTTTTTTCCTATAAAAAGACGACTGCATTTGTTCGTAGTTGTAAGGCCTAACTTATATACTCTAGCAAGTCCTTAACAAGAATGTCTCCTTTGACGCTGTTTAAGAGAAGGCGAGAGAGGAGGTATTTCGTATTTTCATATTATTATTTATATTAATTAATTGTTTATATTAATATCAATATTAATTAAAATGGCAAAAGCACGCATACAAAGTTGTGCATAATGAAACCAGACATGAGGATAGAAATTCAATATTCGATAATTCCATGCGCGATGTGTGAAACCTTAAACTTAATTTTATCCGATTTGTATATCATAACTCCTTTGTTTGGCGAAGTAAACTGAGAAGCCAACTTTAATTTGAACACTAACACAGAATATGTCCGTGCATTTTTGAACTGTCAACTACATATCACAACAGCAGAAGTGCACAACAGTTGAGTTGAGGTGAATCAGAAATATTACTTGATGTTTCCACTTTGTTTGTAAAGCCTCAGTTGGTACACAGAAGATGAGGAATCATGGCAAGAAAGCTGTTTAGCTGAGAGACCAGAGTTCCAGGGCGTAGATGAAGAAATCCTCCGATGGCGTCAATTCAGGGTTGTCGAATGTTTCACAAGGTTCACTTCGACCTCGGTTCAAACTCGAGTCTATCCACAGAGCGGATCTGCCACTAAATATGACAACAGCTTAAATAGATACCTTAAGTTTTGACCATCAATGAAGATAACATTATATATATAACTTTTGAACGTATTATTATAAAAGCGATTTCAAATCCTAAGAATGCAGAAATAAATCAATTATTGTCAATGATTCTGCTTAGAGATAATCTTAAAGTACCATTTCTAGAATTTACTTAACTTTAACTGGAAGGGAATACACAAATAGGCCTCTGATTAGGAAGATTAAAATAATGTCAATATTTCAAAGAATGACCCTCCTCAGTTGGAAATAATAAAAACACCATTTTAGAAAGTGAATTCAAAGCTTCTGTTAAAACACTTGGATTTTGTCAATAACCTGCATGAGAAACTTTGATTAAACCCCGCTGGCTATTAGAGAAGGAAACAATAAGAAAATGGATACCTCACCCCTTCAACTAAGTGTGATTTTCATTCCTGGGTTATTGAAGCTGCTAAGCAACTCAGTTTAATTAATGGAATTGGGAGTAGTCAAGCTGTCTAGAAAGTTAGTACAAACAATCATACTTTAATTCATTGTCTGGCAACGAATTATGAATAAAAGTATGCTTGCCATACAAAAAATGTTGCTTGTAATATCATTACAAATAAAGAATTTAAAACGCATTGACATGTAAATTTTTATTATTACCCTCAGTAATTCATACTGAAAATATTACAATTTGATTGGGCGAAACTGCTAAAATCGATTAACAGGAAGTGGAAGGGCGTCAAGGTGATAGAGAGGAAACAATAACAAACATTCATGGGGTCTCACTTCAGTTGATTTATGCATTAGAGTAGTGAGATGTTTGCCAAATGAGCAATTCGCAATTGAATCTCATATTTTTAACTTCCATTGGGTGGGGTGCGCAATAGACTTACCTCCACGTGGTGCACCCTGGGCAATGTATACTCATATGGCAAAAAGTCTATAAACTGGGAGTTGACTTCTGACTTCAAACTTTTATGGCCCGACTATTTGTCATATTCGCCAACTTCCAAAGTACTCATCTTACCTTTTTATGTCTTTGTGTCTGTCTGTCTGTCTCTTTTACCTCTATGAATCATTATTCTATCTTTCATCTCGACTTTGTGCCACTTTGAAGTTCCTTCTCCCCTCTGTGAAGCCCAAAGTCAACTAAAGGGCTAATGATAACTATCAAAACGCCTGCCATTTGATATAAATAAGTAAATAACTTCCATTGGGTTGGCCCTGTTTGTTTAAGTAAGATAGAAGCGCTCGGACTAATCAAATTCAGTTTCTTCCTATGGTTGAGGAGGTAGTCACCTTGATATGATACTCCTCGATTTACGGCCTTTAGATTGCAGAACTGCATGAGTTGATTTTTTTCAAAGTTGAATAAATTTGATTCTATCAGTAATTTTATTATTCATTTAATTCCAATGGAAATGGTAAATCAATAAATATGCCATTTATAATGACAAAGTTATCAAACTATGGAAGGAAAATAGAAATGTCATGATAGGTGAAAACAGAAGGTGTGGAGTGACCAATCCTAACACAATTAAGCTAATTGATCATATGCGCAGTTGAACATTCTGGAAGATGTAATCGTGCGTGCTGTGAACTTCTCAACTACTTAGCTATTAATGTTCATTTAAATAGGGTGCGCAATAGACTTACCTCCACGTGGTGCACCCTGGGCAACGTATACTCATGCGGCAAAAGAGTCTATCAACCGGCAGTTGACTTCTGACTTCAAACTACCATCACCCAACTGTATGTCACATTCGACCCCTTTCACAGTACTCATCTTACCTTTTTCTGCCTTTGTGTCTGTCCGTCTATTACGTCTGTAAATCACTTTTCTATTCCCTCTCCCTACTTTTTGTCACTTTGATGCTCTTCCTCCTCTCTATTAAGCCCGAAGTCGGCTAAAGGGCTAATGACAACTATCAGAATGCTTGTCATTTGAGATAAAGAAATATAAATAAATATTCATTTAAGTTATGTCATCATGTAATCATATTTGTCGTGTGAATAACTTAAGTAAACGCTGTGCTCACTGCCCACCTGCTTCCTTAGTAAGACATTTTGGGATAAAGATTACTGAGGATAACTCAAGACAATTCACTGAAAATGTTCAGGTTATCAAACAAATTATCCTTTACAGGAATTGTGAATCTACCAGACTTGAAATCTACTTTCCCTTATTCATCACCCCAATTCCTCAGCTTTTTCTGACAACCTGAGTAGTTAATCATCCAATCCCTATACGTGGGAAGTTTTCAAATAAGAGTCGTCAGCCTTTACTGGCCAAAATATCTTTTTAGGAATGTGGGGGTTTTTTAGCATCTACTCAATTCATTTGTCACCTTGTCTCCTTATTGAACTTACTCTGAGCATCCAACAGCGAGGACATCAGAATCACCAGATATGAAGAAAGAGTTCTTCCCAGACCAGGCGTATTTCTGAAATGGAAAAAAGCTACATAACAAACGTCCCGAATAAAGTTATGGCAATTTTATTATCTGTAATTAAATTCAGCAATGCCGATAGCTACTTCATGCAACTATTGATAGAAAATAATTGAAATATCACTCGTAGATGTAGAAATAAGTAAAAATAAAAAATTCTAATGGAAACTGTGCATTTGTTTGTTACTAATGATAATGAAAGAAATTCATTTGAAGATTATTAGTAACTGCAATGTAAAACACTTATTTATTGGGAGGAAAATTTTATTTTATTGATGAGCAAAGCTAAGAAAACGAAGGAAGAACAAACTGTTTCTATGTGCTTAAAAAAGAGGGTTGTAATTATAGACTGCCGAAATCACTTGAGAAGACGGCAAACCGTAAAGAACAGAATAGAATAATCTCTGAAGAACGAGGACTAAGTAAATAACACACGAAACATGTGGGTGAAATTTAAGTGGGATTCAACTACGGTGAGACAGAAAAAATTATACACTTGTTCGCTGCGAAAAAATTACCATACTTAAACCATAAAATACAATCGATATCAATATTTATTTAAAACTTCCCTAGCAGATCAACAATCTGGACATTTTGACTCCTTTTACATCTTAGAAATCTGCCACCTCTAACAGCAAGTGGGCTGTTATAATATCAATTTTAAACTCGTACAGTTTGATAATATTAGTATCTGCGGGTAAAAACGAAGTGAAAAAAATGATTTTCCCAATAGATGCTTAAAATGGCATAAATAATAGCTCGAAACCCCCAAGACTTAAGGGCAGCTCTAAATTAGAAAATTCTATGACCAAATGTGAAATCAATCACTATTCCACCGTAAAAGGTAGAATCCTTGGCGTTTCGCACGCATTTTATCACTTCCACTCAATCAGCCCTCATTAATAAATTTTGTTTACTACTTACTTCAATTGTCCTATTATTCCAAGGGGCTGAGTTTGCCTACACATTTTCAAATGGAATAAAATAAAATATAACTTTATTTGAACTAGAATTGTGCGACCCAAGCTGTATTGAGGCGAAAATTTGCACCGGAAATTCAAATGATTTCACGATCTACCAAGCCTTAACTCCAAATCTTTCTGGCATTGATCTCAGTTAGATCATGAGACATTATAGCGAACATATTTTCAAAATATTTTTGTTATACCATTATGACTTTATATGTAATTTTTTACGAAGGCAAAGATGTATAATGAATAAATTCCCTACCTCTTCTTCTAGGATAAGATAAGGCAAGAAAGAATCTGCGACCCAATTTTCAAGAATATAGAGGTGACTCTACGCTTTTTAATAGATTTTTCCCTATTCGTATTATAGGAAGTTGCGTAGACCTACCAGGATTTGAAAGCCAGACTCCTGAATCCTGCAGGGTTGAGTGAGAAATTTAGATTATTTAGAAAAAGCAGTTGATCAACACCATTTTCCCTAATTCGATTGGTGGAAAGCCTCTGGGATAGGAGTTGATGCAAATGAAATAAGTCATTGAGGTTGTATGATGAAAAAAGCAGTTTGCCTGTACGTAAGCCGGATCTGAGCACTAATATCTTGAGTTAAATAGATACAGGAGTTATCAAGTTCCTATCAGTACCTCGGTTCTCCTGTACATCAAGAAGGCCAAAAGACAACTGATACAAAGCCGCCTGTAACAATTGACAAACCTGTTTGCATCTATTGTGGCAAATCGCAAGGTAAATAACTAAAAATTAGCTACTTTTCAGGTTATAGCTCGGTGTCCGAATACATTTTAAAGCGAACGATGATATGATTCCGGTGAGAAATCTCTCTCCCCACAATCACAGAAGAGTGGGTTTGGCCTGTGGGTATATCTGCACAAAAGACGATACAATTGTTGAGTTTATTGAATTTCCACTTATCGAATTTGAGAAAATCACAAATAATCACAAGCAATGATCTAGCATGGGTAGGTGTTAGTTGAGAAAAAGTGCCCAATTTGGATGCTTACTCGTAACAAGAAATCGATCCCACTCCAACTAGAACAACAGCCACAAATAGAATGTCCGTGTGAAAAATTGAACATAATCTACATAGACGCTCGTGTGTGGAATGAGAAGTCACTGAGAGTGGGAGGAGGAAATACCATTACTGGAACTCAGGAATTCTATAAACAGGTAAAATTTCTTGCCCAATGGATGGCTGCCTTAAGAGCTTTGTAAAAAAAGATTACAGTAATGAAATTAATTGTTTATGCGCTGTTCAAACTTCCAATAAAGCGGCGACGATAAGGAATCTCGTATAATATTATAAATGGAAAGTAAAGTACACACAAAATGAATATTTCAGAGTATACTTGCCGTGGGGCCTCTATTCTCAACTTAGCTCAAAAACCTTCTGGCATCGATTAAATCACTGGTATCACCTCTTTTTCGTTTAGACGTTTTCTACGGTTAAAACTAGGCAAATTTATCCTTTGCCATTATATATTTGACATTTTTATTCTGAATAATCAAAATTTCCACTTTGTTTGTTGTGTAAAATCCCGAAGTCTAAAACGGAAATGAGTAGTTTTTAAGCACTGAGTGAAATTGTTCCCACGTTTTCGATTTCCCCAATGAAATGCAGTAAATCAATTTGGTGAACTGGAATTAAATTACACAATTCAAAATGAAAGAGCAGCAAAAATTATTATTTTTATTTGTAGGAATTTTTCGACGCATTCCATAATGACTGAAAATACTCCGATTTAACATGGAGCCTAAACTTTAATGATCGCCAAGTGTGTGAGTAGAACATAAAGAATGAATGTAGAATTTTTTGTTCAAGATGCTCTGCACTTACAAACCAGGCAAGATATATCACATACTGACCTTGAAGCAGAAATTTCTACAGGATTGTGAGTTTTCCGTGACATTCTTTGAAGTAGGAATATCCTCAGTGCGCGGAGTTGTAGATGATGATGTTGGGATCCAGTGAAAGACGAACGTTTCTCCAGTGCCGTAGAAAGAACCAATATGGACCTGAGGGTGACAGTTCAGATAGGCACCCATCACCTAAGATTAAGGATTTGAGTAAATTCAAAAAATATTAAACTAGTATATAATGCTTATTTTAACAAAATTGATGTAACTAAAATGCAGTTGCATCGTTAGTCTACCGTTGTTTTTTTGATCGTTTATTTAGACGCATTTTATCAAGATACATTGAATGAATTCAGAAAGTCATTTGCGACGTAATGTATTGCTTCAGCTCTTATTCACACTGTTTTGGAATAGTAAATCTGAACTATTTTGAAACATTGAATGAAATACTGTTAAGATTCACATTGTGTTCTACCAAATAACTAATTTAGAAATGCAAGTCTCTATTAATCTCAACTACACACAATGCGTCAATGTGGTATAGTAAGCCGCAATATTAAATTTGTGGGTTGAGTTGTTCTGAGAATAGCATAGACACGAGTCGTGGAGATCAAAGAATGAAGGCTTTGAGAAGAAAACAAAAGTGAGATATGTCCACAGTGGGAATGAGAAGAATTCGTTGATTTTTCGAATTAGCACGAATAAAGGCCCTTTGACTTCGCTTCTTGCATGTTCTGCACAGCCCTGTAATTAAACGTTTTTTTATGTTCCTCCGCCTCGCAAGATCTGATTATAACTAGCTCACTCCGTTAAACCATTTTAAAAGATTCGAAATTTTGCGTTTTCTTTTATTTAGCACAATCATTCCTAATTTGATTAATCGTGACTGATCTAACAGTGGCCTACGGAGGGACTGAGTTTTTCATTCCCTCACGCGCCTACTTTCATCTTTAAGTCCTCATTTCTTCATTCCAATCGAGTTCACGGATTACGAACTTTACAAGAGATCGTAAAAATTTGATAACCTTTTTGAATTTAAAAAAAAAACAATTAAACCAATATAACTTTATAGTCTACTCATAATCACTCATTCGTAAGACTTTTAACCATTATTTCAAACTTCAACCTCGTTTTTGTCTAAAATTAAGCTCAAACTATTAAAATAAGCCCACGCCAATTCCAATTTCAAAATCATTCGAACCAGCTATAGAGCCAAAGTTCACTGTATTAAGTCGTCGAAGTTCTTTTATTTCTCTTAGTTGGCAGAAATAAGTTGGCTTGACCCTGAGAATTAAATGCCCGACTATCAGACGGATTGTATGGTCATTAATTTGGTCCTGATGTAATCTCTCCTAAATCTCAATCTACGAAATAACCTGCGGTGTTCCAAGATGCGATGTAACTCTCGCTATCACCATTCAACCAGCAAAACCATCAGCGCTCCGAAAAAAACCCACATTCCTCTTTGTCAGCAATTTGTACATCTTCAAAGACCTCTGACAATTAGCCAATCAGCGTTGTTTTGATTTCTTTATTTTAGTTGAAACAATTGAAAAAAATTAGACTTATAGAGCATTTGAAATAACTATAAACAGTAAACCGATATCTTACCTCCTAGTTTCATTCAACTGCATTAGATATTTTTAAAAAATATTTTTCCCATTTTGGCATCCATCTCATAAATTTCACTTTTTTTGTAAAATCAATAGATTAAATATTTTATATTATATAGTTTGATTTTTTTAATAACTTCTTTAAAGTCATCTCAAAAGTGCTTATGAAGATATGAATGCCCATTGAAGTCACTGCTAAATTTAGTCTTATGTGAAGGCATTCTTCTTACAGGAAATGTGTCTGAAATTGTGTCGTTTGGGAAAACTATTGTAATTTTTTGTTGTTGTTTTACTAGAGTGGTGTGACGTCAAACCGTCAAAATCTATTCGCTTGGTAAGAAAAATACTGATCAACAACTCTAACGGTAGTTTAAATTTACGGAACAGAACCGTTACTATCATTTAGATATCCTTTTGTGAGTTTACCAAAAGCCTTCAGACCCGTATTTCATGATTTTTTTCCTTTTGAGCTATAGCCAAAAATTGATTACTTAACACAACTGGTAAATGGAGTGGGTATTAGGCATATAGCCTTAAAATGTTATAAAATGCGTTGAGGCGAATTCTATCAAAATTAAGTCGAAGGGGCTAAACCTAGAGTGCCCTGTGGTAAGCTTATGGATACCTTACCAAAGTAATTGCCTTCTTAACCATTGAAAGGGTTTGAATAAAACTTACTTGATTAAATAATGGTGGTCAATAGGCATTGCACATTGAAGGCAAACATTTGATTGGACATTGTGTAACTCAATTTCAAAAATCATATGAGGTAATATTAGCTGTAACATTGTCGCTGTTTCCCTTCATTTTTGTTTGAACCCCTTCCCTGTCTATTCTAGCTTGGATTTAAAAAGTTGGAAAAAAATATTTGCTTTATTATGGGTTATTAGGTGGAAATATTCAAGACTTTCAAATGAGCTCAATTTAACTTTAAGAAAATAATAAATGTTAATTTAAATTCTTATTGATGTCAGCCCTAATATTTCCCACAATGTCAATGGTAATATGGCAAAAATTATTCAGTGTCCATGTAGCCAATAAGTGATTTTTCTCTAGCTTACATAATGTTTATCTGATAGTGATATTAACATTTCTTTCATATTAACTGCAAATATAGATAAATAATAGTCAGTCCAGTATTCGCTGCAAATTTAAATTGAAAACTCATCAATTACCGCTGATGTCGGGCTGCTAATTACTTTCCCTTTGTCTATTATTTCGGTAAAAGTATTGGTAGAAATGACATTGTTGATAAATTTTGTTCCTGTGATTATCACCGATTGCTAACCTATCTTACTATCGTTCATTGTCAATTGCTCGCGAAAATACAAACTACTAATTACATTAACGAGTTCCATTCACTACGTTGCCCTTCTTACGCAAGTTTTGCGTTGACCAAATTTCTTCGACATAGAGGCATTCGCTTTTATTCCTGCTATTGCAATACCTGCTTCATACTCGCACCAAAGTGTTAGTTAAAACTTGTCTGTTTCCCCGTTCAGCATTTTCTTTTGATCTCACATGAATATTTCCATTGAGGAAGTTTTAGGCGTATTATCCCGTTAAGTCAAATCAGTTAAAAAAGCAGAGCGCTTCAATATAATGGTGTATGGAGACGAACTTTCAGAATATTGAGTGAATATTGAGTGAAATTTTCCTTCACGTTTGTAATTGCGCTTGAATAGCGTCAAATTTAAAACAATTGAGTAAATGAATAGACCTAACACTATGCAGGACATACGTGCTCCGTTGTATCCTTAATCAATAGTGCGGAAGGTTGATGTCGTAGATTGTAACAAATATTTCCATGTCTCGTTATGAGAGTACGTTCAGTGAAATCTCCTGCAGTACGAACGCCCTCCGAGCGAGAGTTGGTTTCAAGATCTCCGCTTGAAAATTCCTCACAACGTCGATAAAGTGTCGCTAGGCTGAAGCCATGCAATTCAGTGCTGAAGGTGAGTGACCAATCAAAAGTTTGGGCCGCCAATGGAATTGCGTTAAATAACTAAAGGTAATAAAATATGCAAACACTGTCTGCCAGTACGATTGATCTTAACTAGCAAACAAAAAGCATTATTTACTCTTTACTTAATTATCATTATTTGATCCTCATGAAACTCGGAACCTTAATTTCCTTTTTAGGTTGACATTTCAAAGTTATTCCCGTGGAAGAAGGGTACAGCTTAGCTGATAACCATTAAGGTCACCGGAATTTGACTAGGCTATTGCTCTTTCAAGCATTACAAATTTTACAGCTACAAAATTGAAATGAATGGAGGAGGAGGTGGTGGTGGTGGTGGTGTTGGTTATAAAGACAGGCTTTCAGCCTCTTAATGAATGAATAGAAACAGTAAGCCTCAATGGCTGTAGGAAATCTGAGGGAAATTAAACGAAAATCAATATGCTTCCGGAGTAGATGATTTGTCTCCGAAACAAAATTCAGAAACAAGCAGAAACACCATTATGTGAACATCTTAATAACACAATAACGCATTGCACTATTTAAAAATATATAGTATTCATCAATCACTAGCATTTAAGTATGAAAACAGCAAATTTTGCTTTTAGGAGATAACATAAACCATTCTCGTATAGCGGTGTCTAAAATTAACAATAATTTACTATTGGGTTGGCAACTAAGTCATTGCCGTTTTTGTTGACAGATTCACTCTATACTTTCTTTTGTTTTGTTAACGTGGCCAGAGCATCTAACCTATTTTTTTTCTTACTGTATGGGCTTCTAGGTTAATTTGTAAAATTTTTTTGTTTAGTTCTTTAGTTTTGTTTTTATCCCAATTTAAAAATGAAAGAACAGGACGTGCACTTCCGACACATTTTATTGTATTACTTCCGAAAAGGCAAGAACGCATCGCAAGCACAAAAGAAGTTATGTGCCGTATATGGAGATGAAGCCGTGAGGAAGAAAGGCAGTGTCGAAATTGGTTTGAAAGATTTCGTTCCGGTGATTTTTCACTGAAAAATTCACAACGTTCTGGCCGCCCAGTCAAAGTGGATGAAACCCATATCAAGGCCATTATCGATTCAAATCGTCACAGCACAACACGAGTTATTGCAGAGAAGCTCAATGTGTCGCATACTTGCATTGAAGATAAAAATTAAAAACCCTTGGTTATGTCAAGAAACTTGATTTATGGATCCCTCACCAGTTAAAGGAAATTCATTTGACGCAACGGATTAGCATCTGTGATTCGCCGCTACTGAAACGCAATGAGAATGAGAATGATCCATTTCCGAGGAAGAACCTAGTTACTGGCGACGAGAAGTGGATAGTTTATAAGAATATTACTCGCAAGAGATCATGGGTGAAGCAAGATCAACCAGCCCAAACAGTATGAAAAGCAGAGATTCACCAAAAAAAGATTATGCTGTCAGTAGTCTGGTGGGGGGATCACAAAGGAATTTTGTATTTTGAACTCATGCCGCAGAACCAAACGATAAATTCAAATGTGTATGTTGAAGAACTGGAAAAACTGAAAGAAGGATGCAATTGAAGATAAGCGGCCGGCATTATCAAATCGGCGGAAGGGTGTTGTTTTCCATCATGATAACGCAAGGCCACCCCCCACACATCTTTGGTTACTCGGCAAAAATGATTGGAACTGGGTTGGGATGTTTTGTCACACCCACCATATAGCCCTCACCTTGCGCCTTCGGATTACCATTTGTTTCGTTCCATGCAAAACTCTTTAAATGGTAAAATTGTTAACAACGCGGATGATGTCGGATCACACCTAATTCAGTTTTTAAATAGCAAAGACCAGACATTTTACGAACGGGGAATTTGTACTCTGCCAGAACGATGGAAAAGGTCATCGACAAGAACGGCCAATATCTAATTGAATAAAGTTATATTTTTAAACACAAATTCCGAATTTGCCTTCTTATTTGAAATCGGCAATGACTTAGTTGCCAACCTAATATAACATTCAGGAAACTTGATTCGACTTTAACCAATTTTAGATTTCGTTAGAATTAATTTTCCAAAATGTACTTAATCAATATTTCTGATACGAAATTCAATAAAAAATATACATCACGCAAAATGATATATTACTTTATTATCCTGACCTCGTATGACAGCAATAAAAACTTTCGTCAACTAAAACGTTGAATGGCATCTAAATATGAAAAATCACAAAAAAAATAATAATCACTATTATTAAATAATTATATTTTTCGAAAAAATTGAGATTTTAGAAATAATAGAAACTAGTAATTGAAGCAGAAAGGGAATGATTTAAATTGATTTTATATGTTTCCGGAAAAATATAATAAAAGTTCATTTTAATAAACTGAAATATATATATTTTAGCTTGAAATTTAATATAATAACGATTTTATCTAAAGCAGAATTGAGTTTCTAACGGTACTTATATAAATAAGCTTTTCCGGCCAAAGATCTGAAGAAATACAATGAGTTTGTAGCGGATCGCTACGCTAGTAAAGCCTGACCGACTCAGAAATCTCTATGGCAGATTCTCCAACATCTAGCTACGCTCCCAGAACAAGCTAAGCTATAGCCCAGCTATAAAGGAAACAGACGTGTAGCACGAAATACGTTTATTCGATACGTATATTAAAAGCGAAGTGTTTGTTTGGCAAAGCGATCAGTTATCAGATAACTCTAGCATAATTCGTTTGAACTTTAATAGCTAAATATTTCTGAGTAGTATTCTATAGCAGGATTTCTATTTGGTCATTGATGAAGTGTCCCACAAGTTAAAGATGAAACCATTTATAATTTACTACTTAAATTGAGTGCCAGAGACTACCGTTTGAATGCTTCATAACCTTCACATGAGATCATATAGAAAGCGGAAATGCAAACATTCTTGCAATATTTTTACTTGACAGGGGGAAGTTTTCGCATAAGTCTAAATTCAAGCTGCTTTATGAATTTTGAAATAACTCTTCATATGAATAAGATCTTCAGGACTATAAGCTTAAAAGTAAAGGCAATGGGACTTGCTCATGATTTTTAAAATGGTTTCCTACACCCGAATATTCTACTCATCTAGTATATAATTATATTTAAAAAAGGAGTGTCACAAACAATCAAATTGTGGACATCAATTAAAATAAACTATGGAGTGCGCGATAGACTTACCTCCACGTGGTGCACCCTGGACAACGTATTTTCTTACGGCAAAAAAGTCTATCACTCGGCATTCGATTTTGACTTCTATTTATTATGATAAATGTACCCCTCCCCCTCTTGGGGGAAGCTGAAGTCAGAAAGCTGAAGTCAAAGATTAAGGGCTAATGATAAATATCATAAAGCCTGCCATTCGAAATAATAAATTAATTAATTAAAAAAAACTATCTAGATCATCATTGTTTTGGGGGGGGGGGGGGTTAAAATCTTGAAACTAAGCGTTTTCTAACTCCATAATTGAATATGAAACCCCAAAAAGGTGAAAATAAAGAAAAGTATAAATCTACTTGATTTGTATTCAATCAAATGATGATTAGAATATACACCAACAATGAATGGTTTATAAATCAATGTGTCGATTTTACAACTACGCTTGCTTTCACCTCTGTAATATAAAAGGCATATGCCTTTAGCTAATAGTGTATATAAGAATGATATTACCCACTTTTGAATTGAATTTAATCATTCAAGTTAATTCCTTTTTTAATTGCGTTCATTGTAAGAGTACTCTAGTCAAAAAAGACCATTTTTGTTAAATTTACTTGCGGATAGTGAATATAAGTGGAAACTAAGTGCCATCAAAACTCAAATAACGCTAGAATTCTGGCATTCTAAGATCATCATACACACATTTTATAATATTTCGATATCTAATGATTAAAAATTTATAAAACATGCAAGCTTCCCTATGGTCAATAACACCTAACATTTTATTGTCTTTAAGCCACCTTATTGAAGGGGTCCTCATCCAGAGCTCACTTGTAGTAATCGAAGTGTGAAATTTGAGTTTAAAGTATAATAGTCCTTTCATATTTGTGGTATTCTTAGGTGGAGTGTTGCCTAGGGTTGGCTGGATATTTACCTTTCAAACACATCACGTGAGCTGATCAGGAGATACGCACCTCTAAATCTTGCCGGCCATTGAGTAGAAGTATAAATATCATCACTCTTTCAACTCAGTTGGCCAAATCAACCAATAGGAAGTCATGATTTTTGCTGCAAAATACCAAACAAAAATCAATTAGAGAAAGTTTGTTTAGCGCGTGGGTAATTGTGAAGTTGTTCCCTTAAAGTGAAATGCAAATAGCATATCTAAAAAAAATCCATAAAAATAGATTTTTCATCTCGTTTATTTTCCACAAACATCAATAGTTGTTTACTTTCAGTAAATGGCAGGTTTTACGATAGTTATCATTAGCCCTTTAGTTGACTTCGGGCTTGACAGAAAAGAGGAGCATTAAAGTCACAAAAAGTCGAAGGGGGGGGGGTGAAACAGAAGATTGATTTGCAGATGTAAGAATGACAGACAGACAGACAGACACAAAGGTAGAGAAAAAAGAAATGTGAGAATTGTGGAAGTGGTTAAATACGACATATAGTAGGGACATGTTAGTTTTCCTTATGAACATACTTTACCAAGGGTGCACCACGTGGGGATAAGTCCATCACACACCAATATAATCGTGTAAAATTTGAAATTCTTTTATAGTTAATAAAAAAGTTTTCACAAGTGTTAAAATATTCAGGAACATTTAATTGAATTATTCAGCCTCTACAAAATGTCTTACAATCCGTAAAGATATTAGCTACTACTAGTTATACAAAGTGAGTAGAATTCAACATCTCTCAGAGCTTTACAATGGCGCAAACAGTATGCTTCTTTACTGGTAGGAGTAAATATTTAATCAGGAAAAAGTATTCAGCGATTTACTGAAAACTTCTTGAGTCAAGCAGACTCATTTCTCCCAAACTGTCATACCGTCGGGATGAGTTCTCTCTCTTGCGACTAACGTTATTTGTTACCTCCCTGTGCCCTTTTTTGCAAATGGAAGCTAAGATTGGATTCAAATGCCTAAACAGAATTGATGATCACAAAAACTAAACCATGAACAACACCGATAGGCAATCGTGGACCACATATATAAATGCGGCAGGATTCGGCTCAGAGCAAAGCAAAAAGTGATTATCAGCCAATCTTTATCGATTTTATTTGATCTCCGAAGTCTCTCGCCCCCCTCCCTCCCAGGCCTTGATCCAGTGGATCTTTATGCATGTAGTGGGAGCTGTGTAGAAAGGCAACACCTGTCATGTCAAGACTGCGAAAGCAGAACGGAATGGAAGAAATTTTGAAAGTCTTTATTGTGTCCTTAGATTTTCTGGTCTCCGGAGGGTACTGGAACAAAGCCAGTGTGGATACTAATGGCAATGATTTTGAGTGAAACTCTTTAATAATATTGCCATTACTCCATCTAGTTACTTTCCATTAAACCAGTTCAATTTTGTTCCCGCCAACCCGTTTTCATTTCCTTTATGGGATAATCAAATATATATGACTAAAACTTATTTACAACTATTAATAACCAATGGCATTTTCTATTATTTAAATTGACAATCGGCTTTACACTACAACACTCAGCTGAACTATTTTCAGGAAAGAATAATTATTTCCAGGGGTGCGCGATAGACTTACCTCCACGCTGTGCATCCTTAGCAACGTATACTCATACGGCAAAAAAGTCTATAAACGAGCAGTTGACTTCGCACTTCAAACTACTTCGATCCGGATGTATGCCATATTTGGCCACATCTACGGTATTCACCTTTCCATTTAAAGGTGAGGTGAGTACCGTGTAGGGATCGAGTATGGCAAAGAGTGAGGTGATGGTAATTTAAAGTGAGAAGTCAACTGCCAGTTAATAGACTTTTTTGCCGTTTGAGTAGTGAGAAGTCAACTGCCAGTTAATAGACTTTTTTGCCATATGAATATACGTTGCCCAGGGTGCTCCACGTGGAGGTAAGTCAATCGCACACCCCAGAATAGCCATCATAAAGCTTGCTATTTGATATAATATTTGTTTCCAAATGATGAGAACAATATCTATATATTTTATCGAGTCACCTCCTATTCACCATCTCTAAATGTGCAATAGATTATAATTATCTTTTCTTGCATAGATGTCTCCCTGTGAACCCCTCCCCCTCGCCTTCCCCCTCATTTCTGGAAAATGGAAGGCGATTTTCAGCCCTCGTGGGATTATTTATTCATAAATACTGAAGTAATCACGTAGGATGTTCAATTCAGACTTAGTCTGATTATTGTCCATAACATGATTGGAATATGTTACAGTAGCAAATTTAGCAGAAATTTTGGCCTCTCTCTCTTTAAAGCCCTTTTTGTTCCTAGAAATGATGATCAATCTGATTATATTTAAATGAGGACATCTCCCTAAGGCTAAAATAGTATAGAACTTTTAAAATGCCGACTTGCTATAAAATGTTATCAAGAGAGCAGCGATTAAATTTAATTACCTACGACAGAATCTTCCATTTTATTGATATATGATTTAAATTAATAAATGATCAAAGCGCTCGAAATAAAATTTGAATTGAAAATTATTTAATTAAATAAAAATGCTAAATTTCACTGGAAAATTAAAACATGGAGACATAAGCAGATATTTCAAATGGAAAAATAATAAGACTAAAAATATCAAGTCCTCAAAATTAGAAGAAAAATAGAGGCTCTTCTTCAGTATTGGAAGTCGTCAGAGTACTACTTTCAAATTTGGAATTACTTCTTCCGTGAAATTTTATTTTCTTGGTTTTGAGGCAGATGATTTCTTCCACCTTTAACTCTTTTCAGGCATTAAAATAAAATTCTATTGAATGTATTTATTTATTTATTTATTTCAAATGGCAGGCTTTGTGATATTTATCATTAGCCCTTTTCTCTTAAATGTTCAATTAAAGAAATTAACGCTTTACTTAACTTCAATATACCTTAGCGTTAAATACAGTTCTACTCCTAAAAAGAATTCTTAGGCTATTTCGTAGCATTCTTGGAAATCGAGCCAATCAAAAGCTCGCTTTAATCAATGATTCTGGTAAGGTTTATTTGGCATTTATTTTATTTATTTATGTATTTATGTATTTTGTTAATTTCGTTGCGACGTTGGTTCAGAGTCTAATGACTGCAACAAAGAGGCGTCTAGTGACGGTGTCTCATTTAAATATTATGACAAGCCGCAAATTTATTTTTAACTCGAGATTAAGGCAAAAAAATATTTTCAAACCGAGGTTTTTCCTACTTTATTTCAAATTACGTATAAAACGAAGATTTTGAAGTACGTTGTCTTTTTTATCCTCTTTTAGCCATTAATTTTCAACAGAAGCAAGAGCGTTTGTTAATTGCATTAGAATTTTTAGAAACACGAGCATACAGTTGTCGTTCAATTATGACATTTTAACTTCGATTTCGAAAATCGTTTTTGTTAAACAAAGATTGTATTTCGGTTTACTTTATCGCTCAGCCATACGAAAAGCAGTAGTGACTGAATTGTCATTTCTCAGTATGCTGTCTCCAATCCTGACATTAAAAGACCTGCTAAAAAACTCTCAGGGGAAATTAGAGTGAAGGTTAGTCATTTTGAAGGTGATGTGCGGAGTAACACAAAAATCATTGTAATTAACGTTTTTTCAAAAAATCATAATAACTTATCTGTGTTTTAATTAAATTTAGCCTGCATTGTGCCAGAATATAAGCAGATGTCTAGCCAGAGCTAAAAGAAATTTGTTTAAAGAAATGTTATAGTCAATGGTATAGTGGGTTTTACCCCACCATTTCCCACCTCAAAACAAAAAAACTATTTCTCGCACATTTTAAACGACTTTCAGGTTTCTCGGGCAATCTAATGTCAAGCTTTAAGATGTGATTTTGACATGTTGTGTCAAAATCACTCCTATTTCTTATGAAAAATGTTTGGAATGAAATTTTCTGCCTCATGCTGCCCCATGTAACTGAGCATTTGGGATTTTCCAGCTCTATACTTTCGCTCATACTATAATCGATAATTTTAGTGACTTGAAGTTCGTGTTGTTGGTCGATTAAAACAAAATCTTTATAAACTTTTCAGTTCACATTGATGTCGGAGGGCTTTGAGAGGATGTCTTCTGGTAAGATAACTGGAAAAATTTCTTAAGACAGTCAAAAATCTTCATTGGAAAGCCCTTGAAAGAGAGCTCGAAACGGGTGCAATTTTAAATTCGCGACAAAAATTTCATTAACCCCGAACAATAAATAAGAATATTAAAGTTACACATTTGCTTTTTCAAATATTATTGCATCATACGAAATTAATAAACTATTGTAAAATAAGGCCTGAAACTCCTTCTCTCTAATCACAACTTCCTCGTAACCTAAATATTAATTGACCAACTACAGTGGTCATAAATTTTGCGTGAACGATTTTTACTTAAGAAATTAAAAGCTCTCTCGCTCTGTGAGTTGAAGAAATCTGAGATGCTCATCTCGTGTTATCATGTGGCCTTGTCCTCCTGTGCGTGAGTATTTAAGTCGAATTTTATTGGTTTTCATTGCCGTAAATTAAATTAAGGATAATTTAAGGCCATTTGCATTAATCCTAGTAAATATTATTATTAAATTACTCCTTGACTGGAAAATAGACTTAATTCTATGTTACCGTGCAGATTTCATGCATGAAATCGTATAATTTTAAAAAATGTAATTAAAACAAGGAGGATAAAAATTTCAATCTATTTTTTAAAGAAAAATTGATATAGTTCACTCATCTTTATTTTATTAAAAAGACGATTCACCAAGAGAGGCTCTATATGCCTACACACGAGAATGTTTACAGAAAAAAAATCTGAGACAACTTACGATTTCTGAAAGTTTTTTTACTACCCAAGACTGGATATATTTGAGTGAATGCATTTATGAGTATACGAATTCCCTCTAGACAGGGCAAAGGTTTACGGATGCGAAACTCTCTCAGGCAGAAAAATATGACTCGTCTCGATTCGCGTCTGTTACTACAAAGCGCGGATAGGTTGGACGTAAAATTGCAAAACATTTCAATCACATTTCTTTGTTGCCCTTATATATATATATATATATATATATATTTGCAGTCATGCAAACGTATGTAAATTCTGCTAAGTCCTGTCATTCAAAATAAATCTTAGTCTAACCAACTTGTTATTGGACAATGTAAATTAATACATGTATTATATGAACAAGTACTAAGTTAGAGCATGTCAGTATTGAAAAATGGAGACTTTCACACGAACAGAATCGGTGAGGTCAAACAACGAAACTGGACTTCTAAATTTTGAAAGGGAGATGAACAATCTCTTGGGGGAAATTGGAAAACTAGATTTATTCCACACGTAGCTTATTTCTAACTCTTATTGAACTCTAGCATTGTCTTTGCTCGTTCATCAAAAAAACGCAATTATTTTAAGGCTGATTGAAAAATTCTAAAAGGAAACTCCAAACATCTGATTTCGGGCGATTACAAAATGTCATTATCTGCAGATCCATACCCAAGAGAGCATCAACTTTTGTCTCCATTTGCTCGATAATAAATGCCATTTTACTTCTTACTATAATGCGTTTCTCATCTTTTTCTGATTCCATTCATAGGGTAAATAAGATATGAATGTTTTGTTAAGACCGTGCAAAATTAATGGCATTAAAATTTGTCTTTCGCGCTAGTTTCAATAAATAATAATTGCTAAAAGTTATAAACCAGCCAAATAAGATTAAATATAGATGAGCAAATTAATTTGCTTTCTCTCAAAACACTTAAAAAATGAGTTCACAAAAACTTTTAATACACATTTAATCGCCACATCGCATGCATGAGATTTAAAGTGAATAAATACAGATGAAAACATTTCATACTACTAATTAAGGCAATACGTCGGTAGAGACTCACTTCTTGAATTTGGATTTGCGTTGTTAGAATAGTGCTTTGGAAGATGGCAGCTGGAGGTGGAAGAATTGAGAAAATGGATGAATCAGTTATCAAGGAGTCGTAGGCTTCAGCTTCCTCCTCTTTCTCAGCTTCTGTCAAGACGCATCTCTGAAGGAACTCCTGCTCGCTGACAAGCTGAAGCAGAGTTGAGAATAGTTAGATTGGCGCTAAATTATCACCTTATTACTATAGTCCACAGGAGGAAAATAATGGCTTCATACTTTGCCGCAATGACAAATCCGGTGACAGTAAAGTCAAGCAATTGAGGATTGATGAATTATTTTTCGAATCAAGAGACAAATCAAAGGAGTTTGGCTTATACTTGAATTTGGGTTGTACAATGGCCAGTTCTCTGTCACTCATTTCAAAATCTACGACCTGTCTTCGGATTTACTTCTTGATTCATCAGTTAAGTCGGCATTACCCCACTTCAGATCACTCTTTATGACCTAAATTAGCACTGACAACCTACGACAATCTTTTCGTGTTGTTAACTCTTACTTTTCATGTATTTCCTCAAAATCAATATCCGGAATTTCAGTATAACTTCATGGAAGCAGTAATTGTATGCAAGCTTGTATCATGACTAATATTTCTGATCCTTGAACAAAAAAAGGGCCTCTTACCATCCAATTTTAGTTTTCTTGACAACTATATTGTTTGCAATGCTGGTCTCAACTTTCATCAGCTGAATGTCTGTATTTAACAAAAAAGACTGATTTAATTATCTGGCATTCGTTAAAAACTTTATACTCAAACTATGTTCAAATAAATGGGGTGTGTGATAGACTTACCTCCATGTGGTGCACCCTGGGCAACGTATACTCATACGGCAAAAAAGTCTAGTATTCGGCAGTTGACTTCCGACTTCAAAACACCATCACCTCACTGTAAGTCATGTTCGACTACTTTTACAGTACTCACCTCACCTTTTTCACTCTACCTTTGTGTCTGTCTCTTTTACATCTTTGAAATACTCTTCTATTCCCCCCCCCCCTCCCCCTCTCGACTTTTTTCACTTTGATGTTTCTTCTTCTCTGTGAAGCCTGAAGTCAACTAAAGGGCTTATGATAACTATCAAAATGCCTGCCATTTGATATAAATAAATAAATGTTCAAATAAATTGAGAATCAACTTTACATTCACAATTTCAATGATAACGTATTATAATTTAGAAGTAAAGTTTTTTAACTTTTGGAGGAGTGAAATATTAACTAAAAAAAGTAAAAGTCTAAAATTTATCTGATTAATTTCTCTTTCTTCATTTGATATTTCATTAATTTGTGAATTCCTGCTTACCAATACCTTATAAAGATGTTTTGCGCCTCGTTACTATGCAAACATAATTTTATTAATTTATTGATTTGTATTAAAAATGCCAGTAGGATTAGAAAAGGTTGTTTAGGTTCGCTTCTGACTTCCCAATCTACTTCCAATTTTATAAGAAGTAGGTTATATTAAATTACTATCATCCTCTAAATCCATAATCAAGTTAATTGACAGAACAGGAAACAAATAAGTTTGATCCGGTTAACAAGTTTATGCTGAGGTCTCCATTCAATCATTATGAATTTAGAACCATTAAACTAAAAAATTCGACGATTTGAAAATCAAAAAAAGGTAAAATAAATTGAGAAATTTTACCTCCCAAAGTAGAGATGACTGTCGAAGCACATCGAAAACTTCTTTTTCGTCCGCAAAAGAGGGCGTGCTCGATGTTGACCTTTCAAGGAATATACTTTCCGAATCCTCTCCACCAGTCTTTGCACTCGGATCCTGTTCAATCACATCAATCGCAGCATGATCGGAGAAGAGTTCTTCAGAGCAACCGATAGAAATTGGTCTTCGTCTATCACCTCCAGGAATCATGGTAGGATTCAATTTTAGATTCTTTTGTCCCATTGAAGCGGTTCGATGAATGAGTCGGCCAAGACTACGACCAATGTAACTCTGAGGTGAATTTTCACCGGAGTCATGTGAATGTCGAAATGAAAGGGTCATCTTTCGTGGAATAAGGTAGCCAATGGTACCGTGAATGCTCCTTGTTTTTTCTCCACGCTCTCCTTCACCCTTATCGCTTGTTGACTTCTCTGCAAGAGGCTCCGGTGTCACAACTGAGGCAAAGCCAAGTTTACTACCGACCAAGAAGTTGTCAAGATCTTCAATCCTGAATACCATAATGAACATTAATTTAAAGAGAGATTTCAACAATTTTCGGAAAAGAATTTTACATTACAAATCACTTTACCAACACTATAAAACCTATCTTCTATATATGGGGTGTGCGATAGACTTACCTGCACCCTGGGCAACGTATACTCATACGGCAAAAAAGTCTATTAACCGGCAGTTGACTTCAAACTGCCATGACCCCCACTGTATGTCATATTCGACCACTTTCACATTACTCAGCTCACCTTTTTTCTACCTTTGTCTTTGAAACACTCCTCTGCCCCCCCCCCAACTCCTCTCGACTTTTTTTCACTTTGATGTACCTTCCCTCTGTGAAGCCTGAAGTCAACTATAGGGCTAATGA